CTTTGCATTGTTAACTTGTTCTGCTTTTAAAATGTATAGTCAAATAATTTAGTTTAGAAAGAGATGAGCAACAGACACTGAGGAAAATGCAAACAGCCATCTAGATGTTTACTTTGAATGATGCACTGTATCTAATAGGATTCTCACTTGTGAAGCGGGACAGTCAATGCTTTCTCCCAGAATATTCTTGGTTCTGTAATATTTCGTTTTCTCTTAGAAAACACACATTTATAAATTTTCTCTTAAATAAGCTCATTTTCTTAACACATTTCATTAAAGTTTCAGATTTTCTACTTTCAATTTTAATTGCATTTCTTGGAGAATTTCAGAAGGTAAGACAGATATATAAATGTTCTTATTTTGATATGATGAAAAGGTTATCTTTTGCAGGCAAGGAAGGTAGATCAGTAACTAAAGTGCTTGCTAAGCAAGCACAGAGACCAAGTGTGATTCCCTAGACCCCAGGTTAAAAAAAAGTTAGAGGTGGTAGCTCATACTTATAATCCCATCACCCAGGAGGCAGAGACAGAAGGAGCCCTAGGGCTTGATGGCCAGTCAGCCTGACACAACTGTGAGTTACAGGCCAACATGAGATCCTGTCTTTTGAAATATTTTATTTATTATTTTTATTTTATGTGTACTAGTGTGTTGTCTGCATGTATATGAGTGCACCTGTGTCGTGCAATGCCGTGGAGGTCAGAAGAGGGCTTCGAATTCCCCTGAAGATCCTGTCTTTTTAAAAATTGAGTAAGTCGGACGTATTGACACAAACTTTAGTCCCAGCACTCAGGAAGCAGAGGCAAGTAGATCTCTGTGAAATCGAGTCCAGCTTAAACTACATAGCAAGTTACAGGCCAGCTGAGGCTAGAGGAAGACCCTGTCTCAAAAAGACCAATGAATAAAAAAAAAAAATTAAAAAGCGAGTGGTATCTGAGAACACACACTGTAGATTGACCTCTGCCCTCCATATTTGTGCACACAAACATGTGAATGTACACTAACCCACACAAATATACACATGCAAAAATGTTTTCTTTTGTAATTAAAACAATATCGCTCCCTCTACAGAAGTGCAGTATTGACTTTAGAACTATTTTCAAAGCTTAGCAATAGTGCTGTGAGAAGAAAAAAAACCTACAAATCACTAATGTGCTATTGGAGTCCACAATTAAATTAATTTATAGAAGTTTTAATGCAATTAAGTTTCCTCCAGACTCTATCTCTAATAGTGCTGGGATTTTTTTTACTTAATATACTTTAAAGCATAATTCACTTTCATTTTTGCAAAGTCATTTAAATATTACGAATATCACTTTTATACATAGTTCCATGGTGACATATTCATAGTCTATATAATTTACAGATGATGAGACCAAAATGAAAACTCTTTGAGGACCATAGATCTTCCACAATACACATTCCCTTCCAAGATATTAAGTGTATAAGTTATCTATATTTGCAAGAACAGACTCCTGAAACAGTAATAAATACTTTAAATGATCTGATTGTGAAACTTTAAGAAAATTAAAATCCATAATAAAGAAAACATTAGTGATACAAAGAGCCATATGAGAGGAATGCCCATATGTTTAGGGTTCATAATATAAGCTAGTAAATTATTAGGCTTTGAAATTAAAATGAACAAATCTTTTGCACAGGCAAATTAAGACCATATTTAGAGAACATAAATTATATATAAGCCCACAAACATGAACTCAACTCATTCACCTACATAAAGGACTGTGCATGGGATAGCTGAGACTCTCCCAATACAGTAAAGAAGACTGTTACCACCACTTATGAGCAAACTTGTTAGGATCATCTCTTTAAGTTTTTGTATATGGGTGTATCTCCATGTGTGTATGTGCATGTGTATACTAGTGTCTTTGGAGGCCAGAAGAGGGAGTTGGATTTTCTGGAGTTGGAGTTACAGGTGGTTGTGAGTCACTCCATGTGGGTGCTATGGGCTGAACTTGGGTCCTCTGCGAGAGCAACAAATGTTCTTAATCACTGAACTTTCTTTCCAGCTCCAGTTAGGATAGATTTTCATCCTGTCAAACCCATATGTAAAGAATCTGTGCTGGAAAATATTAAATAATAAATAGCTAGCAGGTTTGAACCCTTATAAAAATGTGATCCAATTGCCCAAAGCAATTTCAGCTGAGGAGATCAGCTTGATTCATATGTCATTTTTGCTATGGATTTTGTGGCTAAGTGTCAGAATAGTTGACAAAGCATAAGTAGATGCAATTATGAAAATCATAACTTAAATCAACAACAGCATGAGAATTATGAAGGATACAGGCATCACCAACATAGCTGAGAATTAAACACAGATAAAAATCTAAGGCAAAGCGCTAGAAATATGTCTTAATGGTTAAGGGCACTTGCTGCTCTTACAGAGGACCTAGGTTTGGTTCCCAGTACATAGGTACAAAGCTCACCACTGCCTGTTACTCCAGCTCCAGGGGATCAGATGCTCTTTTGTGGCCTTCTCAGGCATGCACAGAGACACACAGACACACACACAGACAAATATATGCACACACACACATACACATAAAAATAAATCTTTAAAAATAAATCTAATGTAAACCGCACAATAGCCTATTTTTCTTCTTTGGGTATTTCCCACTACTCCACAAACAATAACAAAGGTACAAGGAATATTCTTATTCATGAAAACGGGAAAAAAGAACAGTGAGGATATTCCTACCTGTTTTCCAGATAAACTGACTGTCCTTTCTGCCTTCCAAATGAGCAGCTTGAGACACCAGGAGAGAAAGTATTAGAAAGAGCTTCCTCATGCTCCTCAGGACCTCCTCAGTGACAGCCAGATTACCCTTTGGAAACATTCTTCAGATTTTTTTCAGCGACTTCACTTGCCTAGTCCTGAAATTAAAAAGAAAGTGAGGTAAATACCAGTGTGTGAAAATCATGACGACAGGATTTGACTGCAAGAGATCTCCAGGTAACCCTATAACAAACGTTCCATCACTATAGTGTTTTATTCTTAAATGAAAGGAAGTCTGAAAGCTGCTTGGTATATTTGCTCCCTTCTACTCAGCCAGGGGCTAGAAATTGACACTCACTACTAAGACCAAAAGAGGGTGAGGAAGAACACTCTTAACAGCAGCAGGAAGGTGGTGTGTGGGAAGACTCTAGATAAGGCTGCTGCTGAGAAAGACAGGGAAACACATACAACACTAAGAAGAGCTTTAAGGGAACCCGTAAGGGCTTGAAGGAACCGGAAAAGACAGATCTACTGAAAAGAACAAGGCTGAAACACGTTTGTTGTTATGTTTGGGGACTAGTGGTAAGGTGAGTGGTTGTTCTGAAATATGAAGCAGAGGGAGGACTAGGTCGAGATGAGATTTGTAATCTAGGTTGGAGGCCAAATTTTAAAGGAACTTGGATGTCAGGAGGGAATCATAGAACAATAAACAACTTTTAAATAATAACATTTGAGTACACATCGTTGGTTACTAGTGAATAGTATTGGTGAAATGAGGAAGTTGTGAAACTGGCGACACAGTCCCTGCAACTACTGATGAATGATAGGAGGAGGAGAAACAGGAGAAGCAGAGCAGAGGCTGGATGGAGAACATGCAGACTTGGATCTGTCAGATAAGAGGATGGAATTAGACAGAACAATAAAATGCAAAGTTAGATGACTGAACTTAGGGGAACCCTCAACCAAGGAGGGGAAACAGGCAGAGACATGGGTTTGCAGGGGATGATTCAAAGAATCTGCATATGAAGTCTGATGGACCTGCCATATATCCATGTACAGCTTTGTTTGTGGGGTATTTTTTTGTGAAGCTAGTAAAGAATACAGGTCTCATGCATGTTACACAAATGTTCTACCTCTGAGTTACAACCCACTTCCAGGTCGAGTTTTCTAAAACAAAATAATGAAATTCTACCTAGAGGTAAGGAAATCATTGTTAACTTGACCATTATATTTGTATTGTAAAAAGTATGTCTATATAAAGACAGGCATAGGAAGATCTATGGCCTGAAGAATAAAGAGGTATCACAGGTAAGCACTGGTACTACTAACATTCATTAGCAAGGCTGCTAAAGGAGGATGGAAATACTGATTATAAGTTTCCCAGTGACCAAAGAAAAATAGTGACTACAATAATATGTAAATAAATAAAATTTTTAATTGCCAACTTGACACAATGTAGAATCATCTGGGAAGAGTCTCAGTGTAGGACTGTGTAGATGAGCTTGACCTGTGGGCATGTCTGTGAGAGATTGTCTTGATTGTGTTATTTTATGGGGTAAGACCCATCCTGACTGTGGGCAGCACCAATCCCTGGTTTGGTGCCCTGGAGTGCATAAGAATAGATAAAGCTAGCTGAACACTAACCATGCTGCATTAATTTCTCTGATTTTAACAGTGGATGTGACCAGCTGTTTCCAGTTCCTGCCTTGGCCTCACCATAATTATGGACAGGAACCTGGGATTGTGAGCTACAATAAACCCTTTCTCTCCTAAGTTGCTTATTGTCAGCATATTTTATTACAGCAACAGAAATGAAACTAGGACACCTTCTTTTTTATATTTTTTCCCATGATAAACCATTGCCCTACTCATAACCACTAGTAGAATTTATCCCAGGAGTTTTCATAAATACAGGCAACACAGAACATCACTACATCAAATAAAACAGACAACAGCAGGTGGCATCTGATGTAGTCTCATGGTACTCCTAAGATGCTCCAAGGGTAGAGAGGCAAAGTACAAATCAGTAAAAATTATTCTAGAAGGATTCGAGCAATGAACTTGGAGTACACAGCTCTCTAGTGACCCACCTCAATTCAAGGATGAAGAGAAGGTTTTACAAGACAACAAAAGCTTTGCTTCGGATTTCTCTATCACAAACCAGTGGTGAGAAGAGTAAAAGCAGAGGGCTCTGGGTGAAATAATTTCACTTGTTGGCTTTTTATCCCCAAGAGTGGTCTGTGAGTAGGATTCATGGCTCCTTTGAGACATTATTAGACACAATTCTAACACTTCAGACCTTGGCAGCTGAACTGTCCACATTTCTTTGATGGAAAGAATCAAGAATATGATTGTCACAGTTGTGCTTCTGCAAAGATTTGGGCGACATTAAATTATGGTTTATTCTAAGGTCACTGAGTTCATATGATATTTTTGTGTGACAGAAAAAGAGGGCCCCTTCTCAAGGAAAATGTTTTGTAATTAGTGTATCGTTCCAAACATGAGTCCTTCTTTAGCACCCCAGCATCCCAGGCAATTGGCACATATGGGTATTCTCTAGCCCTATGCACAGTGAAGATTCACACACACATATGCCATCATCAGAAGGCATAAACTCCCTCCCACTCTGCAGGTGAGAAGAATTTTACCTTCAGAAATGGACCTTGGCAGAGCTAGGGAGGATCTTAGCGAATAAGAGGAGATAGAACGCAGCCATAGGCACAGGGGTTTACCTGTCAGCGCCTGCTCTGCCTTGTGTACAGGCTCGTGGGTTTAGAAGTAGCTTGTGTAGGAAGGAGCTTCCCCTTCCTTCTAGAAGCCAGAAATCCAAATGCCCATTGTATGCTCCCCGTACGTTCTCATCTCTCTGTGAAGTAGAGCCCCTTCGACTGCACATGCTAGGCTATGGATATGGTGCATCAGTAATTACAAATGTCCACGCTTGAAAGAAGCAATGGGAATTGTCTCATGATTTTCTTTTAGAGATATTTATGCCAAGCTGACTTCAAACTCATGATTCTTCTTCCTCCCCCTCCCACATTCTGGGATTAACAGACATGAGCCACTATGCCTAGATGTACCATGATATTCTAAAATCTACATAGGTCATTTGTCTCAACAAATACTTCCACTCAATCCTGGCTATTATTTTCTCAGAAATAAATGTAGGATTTTCTTTTAGATTTATTTTTGTTATTTTTAAATTACATGTATGCACATGTGTGTATCTGTGTGTATGTATGTACACATGGGTGCTAGGACCAACAGAGGTCACAGGTGTAGGATCCACTTGAAGCTGGAGTTACAGGTCATTGTGCAATCATGTTTTCCTGTGACTTCTACAAAGCTGAAAAGCATATCTTCTGGAAAGCAAATAAGCTGTATACTATACAATGAGGGGATCTAAGATGATGTTATGCTACAACGAGTCTGGTATTTCCAAAGTTATAAAGTGGTTATCCAGCAAGACCAGTTCTCTACAGAGCTCACCCCTTTTCATGACACAAAACTGCCACAATATAGATGGCTTTATCCATTCTTGTTAGTAGGATACATGTATCCATAATACATAAAAATAGAGGCAAGTCATTAAAATGTGAACTAAAGAGAAGTAAGACTAAAGCAAGTTTATTCTCTTCAAAATGGCTATAGATAGGAAGTTAAAGAGATTGGAAAATGGATTATGAATTCCAATAAGATCATATCGATATTTTCAATTCTCACCAACCTTTGAATTTTACTTAGAAAAATATCTTAATGCAGTTTATGAAGAGCTTCCATCTCCTCTTGGTCCTTCTCACAAGCATAAATCCTATTCTGACTGAAAGTGACCTACTGCCTTTAAGCAGTGCTTACCTACACTAGGATTCATTAATCAGAGTGTAACATTTCTGCACAGAGTGGTTTTGAGAACCCCTATACTTCCACGGTCACCACATCTCCAGGCTGTCATTAATAAATAAGGCATCCTAACAACAGGATATCTAGGGTGGATCTCAAACAACAATAACAAGAAAATTCAAAGCAGACCTTTGAGAATGTACCAAAGACCTCAATGTAAGATCCACAGTAATCATATTCCTCAAGATATATATTTTTGATGTTTTCAGTCCTTTAATGCTGTACCTCTTCATTACTCTTTTTCTAATAAGCTTAAGGACAGAGAACAAGCAACATTTTTATGAAAAGCTGCCATCAGCCAAGACTCATGCATTTCATATGTACTAGAGTGTGAGTCTGCTGGGTGGATGGATTGTGCAGGATGGCATCTGAGCACAGATTTGCTTTAATCCACTAACAACCTTGCCTTTCTCCTACCCTTCCATAAACCTGAATCTCACTGAATTTTTCCTTGGACCACACTTGAAGTCATTCCTACATTCGTGTGAGTTCTCTATGAACAAAATAAGAGCACAGGAAAAATGAGAGATTCCATTTTTCTGTTTGTATAAGGAAAATGAAAAAAATGCTTTAACAGATTAAATATGCTATGCTGGAGATATGCTACCCATGGTGGTATGAATAATTTATATTATGAAGGTCACTGAATCTCCAAATCAACTTATTTACTATATATCACAGCATCCAAAATGTATTTGCAAGGTGAGATGTAAAATGATGAGGAAAATAGGAAACAGAGTTTCTCCTTTTAGTCTGTTTTCTAATCACTCAAGGCCATTCAGTCTATGAAAAATGTGCGTGGTCTTCCTATGCAGTTCCTTTCCCCTTAACTATATTCTTATCATTGAGGTCCTTGAATACTTAAAAGGTACAAAACTTGGAAAACACATAATAAAATTCATTCTTGTCTGCTCTGAGCCTGAAGGAACAGGGACGAATGAAAGCAAAGTAAATTGTGGCAATGAGTTTCCACATATCTCATGGCCACTGTGGCGATGATGGCTTAGCAAAGATGGCTGATGAGAAGGCAGAGCTCATCATCATGATGATCATCTCATCGTGATGCTGTGTGTTCCATTTTATCTTCCATAATGTGCTTATAACACACTACACATAACACTGGCCTAAGGACATCATTGAACAGTCTCCCTGTCTTGCAAAGTTCATATATTAACATTCCAGGTATGCACATTAACACCCCAATTTACAGTTGAGGAAACTGAGGCATGAGGAATGAGGTGAGAAGTAAAGCACACAA